ATTTATAATATATTGACATAAAGCGACAAAACTTTTTTGTCGTTAAAGTGGATCCATCATAAAAAAACTAAAATCTTAAATATTCTCAATTTCTATTTTTTTTTTAATTATAATTTGAATAAAAAAATGACTATATTTTAAGAAATTTTTAATTAATTAGAGTAATTGTAAACTGACGATTTAGCATAAAAAGGCTCAAAAAGTGAGTTAAGCAAAACAACTGAAAAATACTCATCCTTGACTTATAATGTTAAAACAGTTGATGCAACGCATGTTTCTAATGTTTGCTCGGAAACAAAATTGTTCTTTGGACATTTTTCTACATTGAAGTCTTGTTTGAAAGCTTCATTAGGATCTTAAAAGTATCATTAAAACATTTCAACAAGAATTCATCAAACTGGTGCATGGTTTTATTTCCTTCCCTTCAGGCATTTGTTCTTGAAAGTAACGTTCTAAATGCCTTTTAAACGTTTTTTAAACCTCTATTAAAAGTTCTTTACGTAAGAATTTTAGAAGACTTCTAAAAGACATTTAAAGTACATTTAGAACGTAACTTTTAAAAACAAATGCCCGCTGGGTTTAAATTACCAGTAATTAGATACATTTTGCATCAACTATTTAAACTGTGGTGCTTTTCAACACGATTAGTAATATCGCAGCTAATTTTGCTTTTTTATTTTTTTTTTTTTTTCATTTTATCCTTTAGCCTTGCTTTTGAATAAATTAGTTTATAGTCAGCTAATTTTTCCCCGTATAATCATTACGGACTTTTTGAAGTCTTGACCCCATTATTTTCTCAACATACCCATGCATTCAAATCTGGACATATTGTTTTAGTTAATGGTGAAGATATATAGAATGATCTACCATCTGAGGAAAATAAAGTGATCGAATGAAGTTCAAAAAACAAGCAACTGAACAATTGGCATATTATGTGTATTCACTGCAGCTCTATGGTAAAGATAGGCTAAACAAACTGGAAACAAAAGTTTATTAGCCATTTGCTCAAAATTGGCAAATTTGACTCATCAAAATACTTTTTTCCATGACAAAGCTTAAAAAAAATACAAGATAAAACAGTATCTATGTTCAGTGATCCAGTATTATCAGATTAAATTGTGTAAAATTTTCGGATTTGCTTAAAAGAGACCATACTAACCTTATCTTGATACAACATGAAATAACAATGTTGCGTAAATTAGTAGATTTCTTTTATCTTTTACATAGGCAACAGGATTGTTTCAGGGTGGAAGTTATCCAACAATAAAATTGTTGGGCCGCCAACTGTTGACCTGTATAATAGTCTTAACACACTCAGTTCAACTGTCAAATATTACACTTCATTAGTTAACAATTTTTTATCTTCTGTGACAAATTTGGGGACTTGTTGCATTAGGCTTAGATTTCGCCAATAAGTGACAGATAAACAAAAACCCAAACTTTTTTTTAATGTCTCCTCTTGGCCTCAGCCTTTTATTCAAGTTATTTGTTAATTTTTCTGAAGGAATACCATCCTGGACCAGATGATGATAATACCATTGGATAAAAAATTTTTTTCCTACGCAAACAAATTTTTTTTTGTCTAACCAAAACGTTGTTGTTGGTTGGATAAAAAATGTTGTAACTTATTATACATTCATTTTATGATACAGATCATTTAATCGTTCAAAAAATTTTGTTTATTGTGTTAATCTTAATAACCTTAGTAACCTTAGTTGTTACATGAATAGAAAAACTCAAATTACCGTCAGCAAGAATTGCAATATCTATTTCAACAATCACTTGCTTTCTAGATTGATTAGACTATGATAAATTGTATCAGTAAGTGCATAAATGAGTTTAGCATTTTTAATGTTTAATAAAATTTAGTAAATTTATTTATTAAAATTTTACTTTGCCCAGTTTACTATAGCATCCATATGATTTAGCCCGTTATTTTATGACGAGCTATCAGAAAGTAATTTGATTAACTTAGTATCTTCTGCAAATACGAACACAACAGCTGAAGCCATTCAGGAAAGCCATTTATACATTTTAAGAACTAATTGGCATTAAGAATTGAACCCTGAGGGAGGGGGGGAGGGGGAATTCCACTAGTCACTTTTATCTATATCGAGTGCATACCACTAAAATTGGTGTTCTGCTGCCGATCTCTTAAGTAACACTCTATAAATATGAAGAGTTTGTCTTTTATTTTATAAGCTTTTAATTTTAGAAGTAGAAGATTGTGTTAAGGGTTTCAATATGTCAAGATGTTTACTTAAGGTGGTACACCAACAAATATTTTCTTGAAGTTGAAAAAAAAATGTGAATTTTTGATATTTAGCTTATTTTATAGACAATTTATTGTAGATTAATAATATATAGAAAAGTTTGTTCTCGACTTATTTTTTAGTTTTTTGATAAATTAAATAACTAAAAAACTGATATAGAAATAACAACAATAATCTTCTTTTTCGATTTCCTCCGTTTTCGAATTTTGCGAAACAATGTCTGCTTGTAAACATGATACCCTGTGAAGCGGAAATGCAAATCACTTCAAGTTTTTAGGAAATGTTTATTATACTATTTTTTAAAGAAACGATATTTCAAAATTTTTAAATTCTGCTCAAATATTTTTTTTTTAAGTTTTAAACCTGAAAAAGTTTTTTTTTATAACTTGATGTGAAAAAAACAACTTTTGATGTACTTTGAGAATCTTAAAATTTAAATAATACCTTACCTGCTTTTAAGTAACCATGTTTTGAACTTACCCATTAAAATGATTTTTTTTTTGTTAAAATTGAAAAAGTTATTGAAGCAAACTGAAACGAAGTATAATTTATTGATTCAAAGTGAAATGAACCATAACCCTAACCCTTAAGCAGCCGTGGCGCAGTGGTTAGAGTTCTGGCTTAGAACCCACATTCATCGGGTACCTCCTCAGCTGGCCTTACAACAAATTATCACAAACCAACCCCTCCCCACCATCTATGGCGTGACTAGTGCTTCCAATACCGTCACCATTTTTCAATACCGGTATATCGGTACTAAATAATTACAATACCGGTATAATACCGGTATTAAACTTTATTTTTAAATTTATCATAATCTAAATAAAATCTCAAGTTAATAGTAAAAATTTTATTGATTCAATCAGCTTATTTATTTTATATCAAAACTACTGACTTTTTCATTTTTCGCTTTTTTCTGCTTTGTAAAATGAGCCCGTAAAAACATAGGGCGTTCAGAACATCATCTTCAAAAGATCATCTAATTTTATTGGCTTCACAGTTTTCAAGTAAAGGTAGGAATTTTGCAAATATATACAACGATTTCCTCCTTCTTTAAAAATTCCTATTTCAATACATATAATTTTTGATGAATTATTCGAAACATTCAATTTTCCCTTGTTGTTACATTTCTTATTTTTCAAAATTGCAAAGTCAAGCTTTTTTTTCAATGACAAGTTTACAGCGTTGTCCACAGAATCACTATCGGAAAAAACGCTGGTGAAAGGGAGAGGACTATACCCTTTCTGATTGAGCCGATCTTTCAGTCGAGTAATGGTATTTACAATGGCTAATTTGCTATGGTGCTCAAAAGATAGAGCTAGATCCAAATTCTTGTAACGTTGATGTCCCTTGTGCAAAAAATGTTGTATGCTGGAAAAAGAGTACGTTCCTCATTGAATTGTTGCACCAACATAACTTTACAGCTAAATCGATTTCTCAAAGGTTATCTATCATGAAAATGTTGTATCGGCACACAACAGAGTTGCATGATTTTGGCACAATGTTTCCACAGCCAGTTTTACTGGCGCAAGACATAAGTTAACAGCTAATATTGCATCGGACTCATTATTAGTTACCTCAACTTTGGACTCAAGGGCAAAAAGTGACTCGTGAATGCATTTTTTTAATTATACAAAACGTTCGAGTACTGTGTGCAAGCTAACCTAGCTAGTTTTGGATCCAGTATTAGTGGAATATCTTTATCAAATTTTTCTAACGTGCGTTTTTGAATTTTGATCATTTTTTGTCGGAGAACGGCGAAATAAAAATTTCACAACGGTGCGCACCTTTTTGATTAACGGCTGCAAATCATCAGTCAGTTCAATAGAGCCATTCTCTTCACTCACTACAACTTGAAACCCGCCGGAAAAGTCTTCATCATTATTGGTTATGTTTGTGTCATCAGTATTTCCTCGTCACTTTCTCTGTTATTGCATATTACTTTCAAATTTTTTTTGCAGAAATTGACAATTTTTTTGTACAAAATATCTTGAATACCTAGTTGAATCCCATGCCTAATGCACAACTGTTGATCACAGTTACTTAAACGCCCCACTTTCTACATTACCGAAACTTTTCATATTTACGTTAGTGCAAAATTCAAACATGCGTTCTACATTAAAGCGAGTGACGTAATGATAATATTTTAAATTGGTGCTTCATTATTTAATGAAAACACGAAAGTAAATGGAATACTTAAAACTTCCAGTCACGATTAAACAACGCTTCCGGTAAGAAAAAGATAGCTAGATGACAAAAGACGTGTTTAAATCGTCTAAAACAAGTATTCTACGTATTTTATACGTCTTAAACGCTAGCTGTTTGCTGGCTAGTTGCTAGCTCATTTCCTACTAAACCTAGTGGGAAATGAGCTGGCAACTAGATATTAAGTATAAAGTACGTAGAATACTTGTTTTAGACAATTTAAACACGTCTTTTCTCATCTAGCTATCTTTTTCCTACCGGAAGCGTTGTTGAAAGTTTTAAGTATTTCATTTACTTTAGTGTTTCACGTAAAGAGGGCGATAGCACCTGCTATATCATAAGCCCTCTACATATATTTTTAATACCGGTATTGAGCCAAACCAATACCGGTATTTCGGTACTTAAAAATGTCCGGTAATACCGGTATTCCGGTACCGGTACTACCGGTATTGGAAGCACTAGGCGTGACCTATCCTGAGGACAATCTTTTTATAAACTAATAATTTGGTTTTATAAACCTCGACTTCGCTTGGTAACTAAGACGTTTGTTTGTTTTTCGAAAACAAAAAAAAGTTAAAATGGCAAACTATAGTTTTTAGCAAAAATGTTTAGTTTATAATTTTTATCAGAAAATGTTTTTTTTTCTGCCGTTACTTTTTTCGTTTTAAAACATAAATGCATAAATAATGCATAAGCTTGATTTACCTCTTGATCCTAAGGAAGCCGCATCCATCGAACGAAGAAGAAATAAAGAAATTCAGCGACAAAGCCGAATCTTCAATGCTCGAGAAAGAACTATAGGAGTGAGTTATGTTGTTAAGATAAATAATATATAATAATATATACTAATTATATATATTATATAAATAATATATATTAAGAATTTAATTTATATTTAAAATTATTTGAAGTATTTATTTACTGTCAATCCATAAATCACATAGGTATGCCAAAAAAACAATCTAGCTTGTGTAAAACTTAATTAATCAATTAATTTTAATGATCAAAATTAATTAATTTTAATGATATCTTAAGTTAAAGATATCATTAAAAGCAGCTTTTTATAAATAAAAAATGATGCCATTTTTTTTATTTAATTAATCTTTTAACTCAAATTAATCGTAACTTTCATAGAAATATTCCAATTTATATAAACTTGGTATCAATTGAAAGCTAGCAAAAGTTAAAAATATTCCTCAAATAACAACGGGCAATCAAAATTTAAGGGAATTTAAAAAAATAACTTATAATAAAATAAAATGACTGTTATTTTTTCAAAAACCTTGTTATTTTTAATTAATTTTCTTAATAATTCTTTTGTTCTATATTAAGACAAAAAAAAAAAGTGTTTATATGGATTCCTCCCATCAAATCCAAGAGTAATATCAGCTTAAAAAAAATGCAATTTCAACAATATAAAGGTTATTTATTATACCTAATTCATGAACCATCTAATTTCTTACATTTGGTATGGAAAGCTTTTTATTCCTTATACCTAAATATTAAAAATTGTTGCAACAAAGTTGGACTACATTTTGTTGGTACCTAGTTAAAAATAAACATAAAAACTTCATAATTCAAAAAATATTTCCAATAAATATTTACCCTTCAGAAAAAATGAAAATTTATAAACGTAGCAACTGCAGTTAATGAAATAAGATGCAATTTCTTAAATAATCAGATGTAGTTACTATGTATACAAATTTTTATCTATCAAGAGTAAATGTTTATTAAAAGTATCTTTTAACTAATCTAGTTTTTCAAGCTAATTTTTTTTTTAAATGGAATTTTAAAGTTGTATATCTTTTTATCTTTTCTACAAGCAATACCATTGTTGCTGCTAAAGTTTTATTAACCAAATATTGCATGACTTTTCATTTAGCTAAGTTGCATCTTTTTGCTGTAACTGTTCCTTCATACTCAAAAAGTTTTATTTATTTAGTTATTTTCAATGGACAATCAGTGCTTTAGAATTCTCTTCCACCTTACTGATTTTTTGACACACATAAGTTTTTAAGTCTTCTGTCATATTTTTTCTTGCTCTTTAGCTCTTCTCTTTGTTTTCTGTTAACTCCCAACAGCTC